AGGGACGTCATTTGGGTTGAGGTTCTGGTCGTGGAACTGAGGGATCTGGAGACCACCTCCTTCTGGCTTAACGGGTGGCTTGCCTGTGGGCGGGAGAAGAGGAAATATTTTCATTTTCTTTCAGTAACACGGTATGTTTTAACTGCTAATTATAACAAGATAAGGTTTAGTTTTCTTTAACAATACATAGTACATATAACTTTAGATAAAGGAAAATGAGGTTTAGTTTTATTCTAATGGTACATAGTAAACTTGATTTTAGATTAAAGAATAACAGGTTTAATTTTCTTTTAATGACACATATTTTTTTTTAGCTTCGTACGCTCACATCACAATCATTCTCATCAATACAATAAATTTTGACTTTTCTATTCTAACACTATATTTTATCTTCGGTTTTCATTACTGAAGGAGCAAAGGATTAAATATTAATTGTATTTTGAACTTATAAAGACAATATCTTAACTTTACTGATGGGTATACATTACGTGTCTTAACTGGTATTTTAGGTTTGCATAATTATTTATTAAATGAAATGAAATGAAAATGTGTGACAAAGGGTAGAGATATAATCATATTTATAGATTATAAATAGACATGCAGACTTCAATAACGCATGGACAAGCTGATAGATAAATTGATAAACAGACTGACCGACGGACATGAGCTTGCAAAGATTTATGAATAAGTTGGTGGATGATGGATAGAGGGATGGATGGATAGTTGGATGGGTGGATGGATAAATGGATAAAAAGATAGATGGATGGATGAAGAGAAAGAGAGAAAGAGAGACTCCTCACTGTTCAGGAAGATGATCGCAGGAGCCGAGTGGTGTTGCAAGTTGTCCGAAGGCTGCTGGCGGATGGATCCCGCCCTGTAGGAGGAGGTCCTCTGGATGCTCATCACGGCGTCCTTCGTGTTCTTCTCGGGCTTAAATAGCACGATGTGAACTTTCGGGAAGAACAGGCACCCCAGTTGTACGAATCCTCTGAGGAAAGGTAAAGATGTCGAGGTGTTATGAAAGATTTTCTTTAATGAGAAAATTTGTCAGTTATTTATCTAAAATAATAATAATGTAAGTTTATTTTCTCCCCCCTTTTATAATATAAAGGTACACTTAGTGAACTTTTCTATTTTACTTTTTTTCTTCTTCAAAACAACAGCATTTAATTTATCCTCGCGCTAAGCTTTTATCATGATATCGATCCCATCTTGAGAAAACAGTAACCCAAGGTGACCTGGGACGCGATACACACCCGAGCGACAGAGACATGGCCAGAGTGACGATCCTGACGTCATCAGAGGCCCCCGTGGACAGGTAGAGGGGCACGAAGACGAGCCAGATGAGGCAGGTCGTGTAGTTCGTGAAGGCGATGAACCGAGCCTCGTTGAAGCCTCCGGGACACTGCGGGAGAAAATGTACTCAGTCTTTCTTTTTTGGTTTGTTTATGCATTTTCTCTCTCTCCCTCTCTCTCTCTCTCTCTCACACACACACACACACACACACACAAGCACACACATACATCCACCCCAACCACATATCGATACACTATCAACCAACAGCTAATCAATCCACCTCTCTCCTCACCTTCCTGGTCTTGATGGCGTACACGGTGCAGAAACAGACCAACACCAACGGATAGATAAGACCCACGATGTACGAATAGTCATCGAGGCCGTTGCAGATGCGGATGCGATACTTAGTGTCTCTCGAGCAGAGGTGCTTCGTCGAGGGCGAATAGTACACGAGCCAAGAGATGTTGATGATCACTTCCACGCTTACGAGGAGGGTGACGATTACCATTTGGGAGCGCGGGGAGGTGTACTTGGCCTGGTGTGTTGTGGGGGGTTGAGTTAGGGGCCTTGGTCGTTGTTTGAATTACTTAAAATTACGTAGTCCCTATATTTATGTAACAATATGTGTGCTAGGTCCCTTTGCCTTTACTTCAAATTGTGCAGTCACTATATTTATCACGATACCTAGGTTGTGCTATCACTATACGTATATTACACTTTCTAACTATTTATTTATATATTTCGCGTCACATGTAGCTCCCATATATAATTCTTAAACCTCGTTAGGTGTTTATTTCGCCAAGGGCAAACGACCCTAGCAGGAATCCAAAAGCCTCTTTAACCCTGTCTTGCAAGAAACCCTTATCCATCCTCCCTTAAGAACCCACCTTATGTGGCTTGCCCGGGTTCTTGTTGAAAATCCTCGATATCCTGTTGGTCTTGGTGAGGATGGCGGCGTAGCAGACGGTGTAGCAGAAGCCCAGGAAGAACCTCGTGATGCCGCAGGTGAAGAAGGTGGGCGGGGCGACGATCACGAAGGTCATGGCGAAGGAGAGGAAGATCCCCGCCAGGAGGATGTATGAGAGTTCCCTCGAGGAAGCTTTGATCACAGGTGTGTCCAGGTAAACCCAGAAGATGACCGCCACCAGGACCGTGCTGAAGATGCCTGGGAGAGAGAGAGAGAGGGAGAGGTAAATGTTGTGTTGATTTCTGTTATTCGGTTTTGGAACTATGATTCTCAGGATTTGGGGGCAATTTTAATGGCGTTTAGGGGTTATTATGTATAGATATACCCACGTCCACACACTCATCTCATCTTTCACATAACAAGCCATCCACACACACAACCTCCCTACACACACACACACACACACACACACACACACACATCCCCCCCCCCAACCACCCCCACACATCCCGTGATCCAAATCCTTACCCAAACTCGCGAAGGCAAGGGACGTGATCGCCCACCGGTTCTTGTAGTCAATGAACCTTTCCTCTTTCTCCTTGCACACGCTTTTGCTCTCGTCAGGCGCTTTGCATTCGTCGCAGTCTTTGCAGAGCTGCGTGCTGTTGTCTAAGTACTGGTAGCTTCGGCAGGGTTCACATCGCCAGCAGCATTTATCTTGTAACTGCGTAAGGGTGGAAATAGCTTGTTAGGCTCAATGATAGCTTGTGAGGTGTTCAAATATTTGTATAGTTATTTGTGTATTAATGTTGTGTATTAATGATGATTTCTAGTTATGTCGTTAGTGAGGATATGCTACTAACATGTGTACTCTTGTAATAACGAAAATCATTATAAAACTCATACCACAATCATCCTCATCAACATATCATTATTAACAAACATCGTGAGCTATCATTCTTTTCATTACTATCATCATTTTCCTCATCATCATCATCATAAATATCACTATTGTTATAATCATCATGATCTTCCTCCCTCTCCTCCTCATCACTATCACTATCCTCCTCCACCTTTTCCTCTTTCTCTTTCTCCTTCTCCCCATCCTCCTCCTCCTCATAATCGTCACCACCATCACCATCCATCACCATCATTCTAGCCTTCTCCAACACACCAAAAACTCCTCCAAGACGTACCAGTATCTTGGCCTCTCCCGGTTTGCAAGGCGTCCCGCAGGAAGACACAGGCGGGTAATCCTGGCGGAATTTCACGGAAGATTCTTCAAGCTCTAGAATTTTACCATCTGATGTCCCTGTTTTTTTTTTTTTTTTTTTTTTTTTTTTTTTTTGGGGGGGGGGGAAGAGAGAGTTTGCGTTATTATTATTTTTTTTTTGCTATTTTGAGAGGGGGGAGAAAAAAGGAGGGAGATAGGAGAAGGGGGAAAAGAAGAGGGAGGATGAGAAGTAAGAGGAGGAGGAGGGGGGGAGGAGAAGGAGAAGGAGGAGGAGGAGGAGAAGGAGGAGGAGGAGAAGGAGGAGGAGGAGAAAGAGGAGGGGGAGGAGGAGGAGGAGAAGGAAGAGAAGGAACGGAAAATGAAGGAGGAAGAGAATGAGGAGAAGGAGGAGGGGGAGGAGGAGGAGGAGGAGGAGGAAGAGGAGGAAGAGGAAGAGAAAAACGTAAGAGAGCAGAAAAGAAAAGAGACCGAGAAAGAGAACGAAAGTGAAAGAGAGAGAGAGAGAAAGAGAGAGAGAGAGAGAGAGAGAGAGAGAGAGAGAGAGAGAGAGAGAGAGAGAGAGAGAGAGAGAGAGAGAGAGAGAGAGAGAGAGAGAGAGAGAGAGAGAGAGAGAGAAAGAGAGAGAGAGAGAGAGAGAGACAGAAGTCAGATGGATAGACCAAAAATACATTTAATCGATACACACACACAAAAGCGAAAACACAAGATCTAACTCTAGAAATCTTTACTCACGTGAATAGGTGCCGACGGGGACCCACATGTAGTTGTAGTTATCCACACGCTGGTAGTTGAGGATACTATATCGAGGGAAGGCCGCCCCCATTTTATCGAACTGGAAGTTACGACCGTTGACGTCTGTAGAAAAAGTTTCTTTAAGTTTGTCGTCTTCTCTTTTATATATCTAAATTGTATATCAAGCGTTGTAAAATGAAAGAAAAGAAAGAAAGAAAGAAAAGAACGTTCTTGATAACGAACTATTGTCCGGATGAAAACCTTTTTTCGTAGTGAACGGTTTTCCCCCCAAAATAGGCAGTACACCTTCTTAATATCAAACCCTATTATTCACTAAAAATGACAATTCCTTCTTTTCTCCTCCGTCCAGAAAAGTTCAGTGTCCCTAAAACCATTACGACATTAGAAATAAATATCTACGAAAATTTGGAAAACTATAGACAAGTTACGAAGAACTATAAACATCTCAACGGGAAGTAAATAACAGAAGAAAGAATCTGTTGAAGAAGAAATCACCTTCAAAGGACACATTGAGCAGGTGTCCAAAGAGCTCGTGTCCGTGTACGTGTCCGCTGTGGGCCATGGCGTCGCAAAGACCCGATTTGCCCTCGCACCGCGCCTCCCACATGTTGTGAAGGGCGTGGGCAAAGGCGTAGACGGCGTCTCTGACGAAGTGCAGCCACGGGGCCTGCGCGTAGGAGGCGCTGCTGAAACGGGTGAAGGGGAGGGGATTGTGGTTAAATTATTAGGCTGTGGGGGGGGGGGGGGCGCTTGAAAGGTAGATGGATAGGAAGATACATTAGGGGATATGTGCATTCATATACGGATTG